GCAGCACAGAGTGGGACCAGCCCCCCCAGCAGGGGAAGGCCGAGATCCAGCTGGGAACCCCAGCCCTGATACCACAGTCTGGAGACCCTCTGTGGCTCACGAGACCTGATCTGCCCGCCCACATCAGGCCTCAGTAAATGTCTTTTAGTGCAACATTCCGCCATGGTGAGTAACCATACTGAAAACAGCAATGGTAGCAAAGCCCGGGGGCAAAACAACCAACAGAAAACCCCTATGTAAGTCCCCTGGGCCATGATAACTCCCTGAGGTTTGTCACAGATTCAGTACTGCTCACCCTCATCCTTGCAAATAAGCAGGAACCACAGCCCTGCTCTCCTGCAGCTGCTCAGAGCTCCCATAGCCACGTGCCTGTGACTGCCAAAATCCTCTCCATCTGCCTAAATCATGCCCCAGGGATTTCTCAGCAGGAAACACCATATAAATACCATCAATGATTCGTGCCCTGTTTATTATTTCCAGTGTGGCTGTTACAAGCGTGACTGCCACAACCTCATTTGTAGAGCAGTGACTGGCAGCCTGTCACCCGCTGCAGGGTGCAATGGGACCACAACATCACTGCTTCCATCCTCCTCAAGGCACCATCACTGCTTCCATCCTCCCCAAGGCACCATCACTGCTTCCATCCTCCCAGAGGCACCATCACTGCTTCCATTTCCTCAAGGCACCATCACTGCTTCCATTTCCCCAAGGCACCATCACTGCTTCCATCCTCCCCAAGGCACCATCACTGCTTCCATTTCCTCAAGGCACCATCACTGCTTCCATTTCCCCAAGGCACCATCACTGCTTCCATCTTCCCCAAGGCATCTGTCTCCTCCATCACCTGCAGACCACCCCTCTCTGCCTGCCCCACCATCCTGCAGGCAATGCAGAAATGTGCCACCCACACATCAGGGGACAGCAGCAGTGGAGGAGCTGCAGCACTGCCCGCTCTGTCCCCATTCCCACAAGCACAGGCACAGCCCGGCTGCTTCCCCTGGGGCTGCTCCTCACTGGGCCCCAGGGCCGTCGCCAGAGCCACACACGCCAAAGGATACTAAAACTTTGATTTGTGATTTCAAAGTTCCACAGGTTTATCCTCAGGTCATCCGCTGACATGTATGTCTCGTAGTCGCTGTTGACGGAGATGGAGTTGATGTGGTAGGTGTGCGCGTTGGCAAACACCCTGCGCGGAGTGGCCTCCACCATCAGGTCCATGGGCCGCAGCACGGGCACCTGCGGGGCGAGCAGAGAGCGTCAGCAGCCGGGCACAGGGACGGGCACCAGCAGCGCCTGGCACGGGGGCGGCCCCGCGGGCCCCTCTGCGCTGCCAGGGCTTCCTCCTCTCACTCCCAACAGGCTCCTCCAGGGAAAACTAATGCCTTCCATGTGTACGATGTGACAGAAGGACAAGCAGACCCAAGAGCCATCTGATTTTGAGAGACTTTCCAGGATGGTTAGAGCACAGTGAAGCAGTGCGAGCCCTGTAAACCAGGCTCTGATCTTGCTGCAGCAACTGTTCCAGCTGTGAAACAAAAAAACAACCAAAGAACCTCTTCTGCCTCATTTTGTCACTGCTTAGCCAGTTTCTGAAACTTCTGGAGCATTTTTGACAGAAATACCTTGCTTGACAGAGCCAGGCCAGCACATTTTTTCTTTAAACAGTTTTGCATTTATCTCACAGTGAAGTGATGGAGGCAAGAGATGAGACGGGACAGAGGGAAGGACCAGGAACAGAGCTGTGGGTGTTTGCCTTTAGATAGATCAGCATAACCCATGGGGAGGGGGGGATGCAGAGGGGACCGTGTGTGTGAGGAGTGGGGTCAGTGATAACTTCGGACTCAGGGCTCTGGAGGCAACTCAGCCCACCAGGAATGTGCCAGCCCATGCTCCTGTCACCAGCGAGGTGATTCACCAGCTGCTCTGTTTCTTGTGCTGTGTGAGCGCTGCCTGAAGAGATTCCCTTGGCTCCAGAGGTGGGCAGGGGAGTGACAGCCAGCTGGAGTGACACAGGGCGCTGGTGCTGCCAGCTCAGAGCTGAGCCCGTGACGAGCCTGCAGCTAATTGCACCTGACACGGGCAATGAGGCATCGTGTGCACTGCCAGGTCCTGCTCAGACAGCTGGGACGGGGACAGGGAGCACGGGGAGC